ACTCTCTACAAGTGGAGAATGTATGGAGGAAAGGGAAACAGAGTCCTGCTCTTTGCGCAGTCTTCTGCCACATCCTAACACGACGCCGTTTTCTCCTCACCTCGGAAGGTGCACCGTAACTACCATGAACCCTCCTCCACTCCACCATCCCTCTTCATCTTCTTCCTCCCGCCACCGTTTCTTCTAGCCCTAGGCCAAAATTAGCTTTACAAACAGAGAACCATTAAAATGGCAGTAGCCCACCATCACTCCCATTGAATACACTTCAAAAATCAAAAAAACAAACAGAAAAAAGTGACCCATTGATTGAAATTATCGCAAGGGGAAAGTAGTGGCACATGGACAAATTAAATTAACCCTACACAGTTCAAATTCAAAAAGAAGAAAAAAAATCATGATAATATTACAGAGCAAACCTAATTTGAAAAGGGAAAAAAAACTGCATTTCCAAGCTCAAATTCTCACACACAGTGAAATGACTGGAAAAAGAAGAAAAAACCCCAAACTTATTGAAACTAATATCTAATAAAAAAAGAAAAAGAAAAGAAAAGAGAAGAAAAATCAGAACTTGGTATTTGATGATTGATATCTCTGTAAATTTTTGTATGAACACACGAGCTTAAATTGGGTTTAGCTTTCAGACTGGAATGTCCGGCAGCGCGAAGAAGAAGAAGAGCTCTAATTCCGGAGGGGCAAAAAAGGCAATTGGCGATCGCCGGAAAGAGCAATCGGAAACGGGTCTTTGCTTCTTCGGCGCCGGCGGGCATGTTACAATCTCCGGAATTCTGAATCTCTCTGCTCTCGGCGTGCTGCAGCCGCCGTCGATGTCGTCGTTGGAACACTGAACGACGTCGTTTTCTGTCGCTGGGGCTGGAAGTTTCTGTTGCTGCTGCTTCTTCGTCTTCTTCATTTTCTTCAGCTTCAAGCTCTGGGAGTTTCCTCTGGTTCTTGCCGCCATTCTTCCTCCAGAAGGAGCCATTTTTTGAATTTGTTCTCAAAAGGGTCGATTGAGGCACTGGAATTTGACTCCAAAAAGAAGAGCAAAAGCCAAATGGAAGAGAACAAAAACAAGGGTCGCAAACAAATTGAACTTTTTTTTTTTTTTGTGGGTTCTGTCAATGGGATTTGTTCTAAAAGAAGAAGGGTTTCAGAGAATTTTGAAAGATACCCATTAAAGAGAAGGATTGAGAATTTGAGGGAGGAGTTTCAAAAACCCACAAAACCCTAGAGAGAGAAACAGGAGAGAGAAAGGGTCAGCCGCGTTCGTTTTCGTTTTGCCCATCTCGAGCTGGTTATAAGTAGACATAATTAGGGCAGGCTGCCCGCTGCCCGAGGCAATTATCAGAAGAGAGGGAGAGGGAGTTCAAATTTTTAGGCACTCTTGGGATTAGTATTACTGCTTATTTGATTGATTAGTTCAACTTTGAGCAGGGGGCTGCCCGCTGCCCGTGGGGGAATCAACAGGGGTGATTAAATAAATTAAATATATAATACATTTTTATATTTATTCTTTTTGCGAAAATAAAAGAAAAATCAAATGGTAGTAAGAAAAAAAGAAATTAAAATGTTGTACTTTATTGTGCTTTTTACGAAGCTAATAGTGTTTGTGATTTTTTTTCGGATAATTATGAATTTTATTGATATGTGGTGCTGGTGCTATCGGAATTGATTATTGTACTAATTAGTTTTTTTTTATGAAGATTCCTTTATTTATTTGATACAAATCTATTCAGAAAAACAGAAAATGAAAACGAATTATGTACCTTTAATGTTTGACATAATTATAGAAACTTCTCATAATCACCTTTGCCAAAAAAAATATCTACATTTATATATTATATCATGATCAAATTATATATTATGTAGGCTCTTAAACAAGAGCCGACCATCCATTGCTTTTCGAATAAAATATTTATTTGGATAACAAGAGTTGCTATTGAAAGTGAAACTAAAAAATTGAAAGAACCAATCAATATATGTAAGTTTGATTTTCTTTTATAAAATTTATGAATCAAGAATATTCTAGTCTACTTATATGTTGGTTCCATTTAATTTTAGTTGGGTTAGCCACTTTAATTGTTTAATTAAGTTGATTTTGATGTTGATTAAAGAAAAAAAAAAGTGCTTCAAAACCATAGTTTAGCGGGAGATAGATTAGTGAGACAAAATGACAATATACTCCCGACATGTTTAACTAAAACCAAATTTCATAATCTAAGAAAGTTAGATAAAAATTTGGAATTTCAACATGAACCTCATTAATTTTGTTCTTAATACAAATGCATAAAACAATATTTTAAACTTACTTTGAAGGTTTTGTTTCTCACAATACTTCCTGCATTCTCATGGGGTTGATTATAGTTATAATTAAATAGCTTAAAATGGAATTATGCTTCCCACCATATAATATGTACGACAAATAACCAAACTATTATAATTATAAAACATAATATTGATTAAAAAAGAGGAGCTATTCTTTTCATACGACAATTATAAACTTTATATTAATCCACGTTCCCATGTCCTTTTCCTTTTCCAACTTTATCCAAAGAAAATCTGTCTAGGTTTCAGTTTTAAAAAACATATCGATTGTTACCTACAGATACAATTGCCCATCTTTCTCTTCAACTTTAGTTTAAAGATAAAAATGTCATGGAGCAATAAATCAAGTATTACCCAACATATACATATGAACTCACCATGTGAACTCTGTCAAGATTGAAAATTTTTGTGAGAAAATTTTCACAGAACCTTGAGATATTTTAAGCATCTTCCCCAGATAAATGGCCTACCAACCAAATTCTTTTCACAAATTTATGCAGAGGAGAGCGATACGACCCACTCGCTTCTGACAAACAATGGTCCTGAAAGTAGAGTGTATGGTCACCAAAAGCTTACAATCAAACTTAGCTCCTATTCACTTGTAAGTAACTCCATAAACATGGATCCCTGCTGCAAAAGCAAAACAAAATAGTAATTGAAGAAAAACGGTGAATAGAATAGCTGGTGGTCACCGCCCTCTAGAGATTGCTTCGTCGAGCTCTTCCTGTGATGATGGGAACAGCTCTATGTATCGACTACCTAGCGTCATTCTGTCCTTGGCCATGGCTGCTTTCGAGTCTTGCACGTTGGCGAACTCGACGAATGCCTCCCCACTTGGCCTCCCCTCTGAATTCAGTGTTAAATGAATCAAGTCCTCCGATAAGTTAAAACCTTTGAAGAAGTCCAGTATGTCATCCTTGCCAGCCGAATATGGCAGTCCCCTCAATCGTAGTACACCCGTGTGTTCAGCAGAGTCTTTCACCTCGTTGTTTGGCTTCGACCAGCTGGGTGCAGTTCTTCTTGGTGAACCACCCCGGGCATCGAATACTTCATTTGCTAAAGCCTTGTAGTATTCCTGCCGATTACTCCTGAAAATCTCAACATATCTCCTGCCCATGTTTTGCCTATTTCTCTGAAGGGCAAAATCAACCTGCAGAGGGTAACCCAAAACACAAAAACCTTCCCCTGTGAATTTACCATTCTTGTGCACAAAAACAATGTCAACTATGTCCAGACCATGAAAGAACTCAGCAACATCAGTTTCCATGCAATCGAAAGGAAGACCTCGAAGTCTGACAACAGGAAACGGTGGTGGCTGACTAACGTATGCATAGGGACTTGTATTATACATAAAACCAGAACCAGGAGAAGTCCCGTAATAAGAAGATCCCTGATCAACTATCCGTTGCCGCTTTGCACCCATTTCACGACCATTGCCACCATCAACGTATGAACTGTGGTCAAAACAAAAACATGAAATTCACAAAATTAGAAACCGTATGAATACCCCATGCCAAAAGATTAAAAAATCAATGTATAACAATGTTAGGAAATTTTCAGGTTCTCCCATTCATTGGTATGCAGGCGCAAAGAGATGGTTGATGGCTCCTATGCATATCAAATATTTAATTATTTAGGGTAAAATTTCTTTGACTATTGAAAGATAAATCTGCAGTTTCAAGTTTCCCAAAAAGAAATGGGCAAACTTCACTATTTTCCCACTATAACACAGCACAGCCAAGAACTTGCTTTCAAGATCCACCTGTAAGATACCTTGAAAAGTATTTTCTAGCAGGGGACTGATTTAAATGAACCACTTGAAAGAATGTCAGGAATTTTCGCCATTCCATGGTTTCTAGCTCAGTCAGGTTCCTTCTAAAGAGTAGATTCCTCCCTTAGAGCACCTTAGACCATCAATGAAGAACAGGAAAGTAGTGCAGCAAGTTGGAAGCTTGATGAAATCTTGTAAAACAACTCATAAAGGCATCTCTCCTACATAAATATTTTTCCAAACAGAATCAAATCCACTAAATCTGAAGGAATATCAGCTGTCAACCTTTTGGTATCAACCAGAATTGAAGGCACTACTAGCCTCCAAGGAGAAGCAGACAAGGGCAGGAAGCCATCTGGTCAATTGGACATTGGAGTTTGATCTATATGCCTGAGCAAATGATTGGGCTCGGTATTGTTGGTAAAAGCTAAAAAAGATTTCTCCATTATCCAATAAGAAAATCACAGGCACGCACTCATTGGAAAAAGGGAGTGGAATCTTGCATGCAATTTTTCTTAGGTGTCTAATTTTCTCCAAAGAAGAGTCCAGTGGAAGCCTTTATCTTTTCGGGAATCTTTCTCCACCAGAATCAAATTGCCATGGCTTTTTTTGGTGGTGGGACGAGAGGCAGGATGAGAGCCAACAAGACGATGACAAAGCGACTTGCAGGAGAAATTGACATATACGTCCAAATACCAAATTCTCCTGTCTCCCTTCCTGTATGGTCTAAAGGAGCTAATTTGCAACAAAAGGTCTAAAAATTGTAAGACTTCCTCATCCTTCAGACATCTTCAAAAGACCAGGTTCCAGGTCATTGTTTCTTTAATCCTAACAGTCAGTTATCGTGCTATTTTCATTCTTCACAGTAGTATAGAGGCATGGGAGTAATCTGCAAGAGAGGTGTCAGTGAAGGGCAAGGGGGTAGCATTCCTCCCAAGATCAATTTATATTTCCATTCTCAGCTTTGCAATCCACTACAGTATTCAAACATTTGTTTCTCTACTCTTTATAAAGTGCCCTGGGCTTCGGGAGACCATCCATTCATTTGAGCACTGTATTTACTAGAAGTGACCAAGTGGCAGAGAGAACCTTGTTCATTTGGGAATCTCTATGACCATTTAAAAACGAGAGCCAGATTATGATTGATTACATTGTCAATACCCAAATCACATTTAAAAATATGAAGCTCGGGAATGTTACAAACGACACAGGAGCCACCTGTTGACTTGGAATCATCATGCCAGGAGAAATCACTAAAGTACTTCTCCAGAATTTTGGCCATAGCAATAGAGATTTTGAAAAGATGCATGTAGCAGGTCAAAATTCTAGATAAGACATGCTGAATAAGAGTTAGTTTGCTTCCCTCAGAGAATTTGCTATTCCTACACTTGCTATCTACCACCAATTCCCAACCCCAATGGGGGACACCAAGGTAGGGCATAGGCCAAGAACTTTACTACACCAGAAAAGGTTTGCGCTCTTGAAGCTTTAATTCTACTATGAGGTTTTCAATTTAGAAAATTGAGAAACGTAGTAGTGCTAATGCAACTGAATACCAACTTGCTTCATTTTATGTAGAAGCCCCTTTTCTTCAAGAAATTCCAACCAGTCATTTCAAAGGCCATCTCCACGTCAATTTTAAAAATCCAATGAACGCAGTTCATTCTTAGCAAACTTTTGAAAGACCATTCCCAATACTTCCAATTTTCTGTAATCAGTAGTGCATTTCCTTCCCCCTAATATCATTGACATTATATTTAAACTAGTCATGGATCAAAAACCTGAGAGTAAAGCAAAAACTGTGGTTCAACTATTTCATGGCAGCTTTTTGACGGATTTGGCATGACAGAAACAACTGAATTTTTTGTCAATATCTTTAGGGACGTACAGGAAGTCAAGGAGAGTATCATCTTCTCGGCCTCCTCCAGATGGTATACACTTATGGATTTATAGCAATTCATCGTTTTTTATTCACACCAATGGTGGAATTTTCATGTTAGCCTTCTTTGGTGGTTGAACTAATTCGACAATCCAGTCTTTTAAATTGTACAAATATGCCAACCAACCATCCCCAATCACTCAAACTTAGTAAAACACCAAACTTGACCTGCAAAATTTTAAAGTTAAAACTTCTATTTTACTTTACGCGCTAGTTTAACCATAGATCATATTCAAGCTGCACACGCCTCCTCTCGAGCATGCACGAAGGGTTAAGAACCCAAAAACAAAAGAAACTAATCCCGAAGAACAACATCCACTCATATACGGTCATTCCCAAAATCGGTGATATTCTAAGTAACAAAAGGTACCTCTAAACAATCATAATCCGATAAAAGAAAGAACGAAACTCTCTCAGTGAATGATAAAAGGAAACTGATAACCGCCGGTAGAAACAATTAACAAATAGCAGCTCAGAATCCCGATCAGTTCATAAATAAAAAGAGATGTAGACAAACAGAGACTCAAATCGACGTGAAAAATGTAAGAATTGAGGGGGGAAAAGGCATAGAAATAACCCAAAAAAAACTTGAGAATAGAGATCGGAGAAGGGGAAAGTTACCCTCGGTAGAACATGTTCACGCTGATACCGGATGCCCGGTTGTGAGGAGCAGCTTCAGTTGAATTGTGAAATCTGAATGAAAATTCCAAGGTAATACGTGAGAAACTGAAACTGAGACCTCCTCTTAAGCCTGAATGGACCCCCTAGCCTTCAGATTTCATCCTTGGCCCATACAAGCTTAAGAAATTATTAATCATTTCAATTTAATATATATTTTTCTCTAATTCTTTAATTAGAACTTTTTTTGTTTTTTTTAAATAAGTAATTTCTTAACCGGTTGAATTATAGTCATATCCGTTAATTAAATTGGTGAGAGATTTCTAATAACTAGTAAAGAGATGGTAAATTATAGATGTGACCTATGAGTTTTATGATGGGATGACCAACCTAACCATCAACTAGTTAATGTATACATGGTGGCTAATAAGTTGTCGGTTCGAATCTCCAAACCTTGAGTAGACGGTTGATGTATCATACTCGATTCTATCTTTCGAAGCATACATTTCCATCATTATTGCAACTGATCCGGCTATGTACTCGGTGCATGAGGAACTGTCTTTGATCTCCCAAATCGACTTATGACTTCCAGCCGTCCAACGACCTGTAACGCTAGTTACTATTCCAACTGGGGCTAAAAAGTAAGCCCCACAAGTGAGATGTACTGAACAAAAAAAAATTGTATATCTTTCTCTTTGGAGCTATAGCTCACGACATCATAAAACCATACGATTTTTTCGATGCTAGTTTTACGTGAAGAAGAGTTGACATTTCAAGTATCCATTTTAATAGAAACATTCTAAAACTACCCATAAGCTATAATGATAAGAAACAAAGTTATGTTTTTTTAATGATTTTTTTATCGGTCTTTATCTTGGGCCAGACCGGAATACATTCTACTTATAAGAATGAGTATGAGTGTTTCGTATTTTTATTTTAAGAAAAATAAATAAATTTTCGAATCTACACTTGTTTTCAACTCTCGAAGCATTTTGTCACTAACAAAATGATTTTAAACCACCTAATAAAAGAAGTTTCCAAATCGTTGACTCAAACCTAGGAGGGAAACATGTGTGATAACAAACATTTTTCTTTTATGGGGTTTGAATTAACGGATGCAAAAACAATTTTTTTTTTTATAACCTAGTGTATTCACATATCTCCATTACGAGCTATAGACAATTAAATAAAACTTAATCCACGAAATCATTTGATATATGGATAACATTGTTGTGGTAAAAGTTCACAGATTTGAAAATTTATCGTTTTTGGATTTATTGACTTATTGTGAAAGCTCAATCAATTTGACTATAATGAAAAAATAGCTATTAATCCATAGTCCTCACTGAAGTACATGCTCCACCCATATCAATCTATTACTTCTGTCTCTTAGAATATGACCATTTGAATAAAAAATCTACATAGAAGGATTCAAAGGAAATTAAATCAACAACATAAGTTGAACCCTTTATTTTGCAAGTTCTAAGCCGCTGGATCCAAATCTCAAATCTAATAAAAAAAATACATCAATTCATCCCTTCCTTTAAAAATTATTTTAGTAATGCTGAAACCATATTAGTTTTTGTGCCAAAGCATAAATTAAATTGTTGGAGTATCAAATAACTTTATGCTAGGTTAAATTAATGAGTAAAAGTTGCCAATCTGCTTAATTGATTGAGGTATATCTATACATTTTCTAAAAATTATTTTCATTATAAAGATGGTCCAGAATAAAATCTGGCCATGCTAATTTTGGGCCCAATAATAATATAATGGTGGGCTCACTGGGGTGTGGTTGAAGAGTAGGAAGCTGAAATGTCATTTGGGCTCCTCCATGGCCCATATAACGGGAAGACCGCGTTCATTACGCCACGTGGAAGACAAATTAAATTCACGTACCTTTCATTTTCGCGTTGGGATTTATTGACTTATTTATTTATTTTTATTTGTTGAAATTATTGACTAGAGTATGATACTTGCTCACAGAATATTCATTTGCCCATTATTCTCACGCATCTTACAGTGAACACCACTTTCCAAATTTGTTTCAAAATTTTAGAATATTATGAATCGTTAAGAATTTTAAATTAAAGATAGAATCACACTTTCTTTAAAAAGTAATATATTATATCGATAAAAAAAGTAATATATTATAATTATAAATAAAGAGAAGATATTTCAAGTTATCTTACAGAGGTTCTATTTACTTGACTTATTTCTAAACAAATTAATAGAAACGATTAAAATAAATTTTTATGCAGATTTATTTATTTGTACAACTGCGTGGCTTCCACGCGCGAACCTGCGAATGGGAAAGTTGGCGTAATTCTAAGGTTGAACCGTGTTGGTTTTGGTGTTCAATCTTAAAAACATATTTGAAAAGTTTTTTTTCCAAATACTCCGACGTGGCTGCCAGGGAATCCGCCAGATTCCACGCTAACCGTCCTACCGGAATGTTCTAGATTTTCTAACTCGATTTTGTTACATAAGGGATAAAAAATAAAGAAGAAAGGTGAAATCTCATTTTTGCCCTTATAATGAATAATTTATAATAGTTTACCCTCTATTTAGTGTTTAAAATGAACATATTTTAATGACTAAACTAAACAATATTATCGTTTTTTCCATGGTCGAAAGTTCAAATTTATAATATAATATTTAAGAAAAGGTTGAACCTTCAATTTTAAAAGAAAGATAGATATGAATATTTCAACAGATCATAATTGAGAAGTTAAAATCTTCTTCTTAGCAGTATTTAAAAAAATAAAAATCAGTAAATTTATTTTGAATAATAAAAAGGAGAAAAGTAAGTTTTTATAATTGCAGTGTTGGGACATTATTACATGGATAATTTAGGACCTCAAAAAAATTTATGGTTTACGTTGGCAGTCAGAATGCGTATACTGGAAAATGAGAAACGAGAAAAATGCAACAGGAAAATAAACCGCACACGCACACGCCCCTCCGAAAATCTCAAACCTTTTCTTTTTTTTTTTTCATCCCTTTCTTGTACAATTCCAAATTGAATTCTCTGAAGTTTGAGTTTCCCACGGTAGGTGAATCTTTGACCCGCCACCCATTTCCCATTCTTCTTTATATTTTATTGGGTATCTCCTCGATTCCTCATTGCAACTCCCAAATTCTTGCTTTTTCAGAATGGTGGCGGTCGGAGCTTCATTTGTTGTGGGTGCGCCGGTGCTGGACTCGCCGGCTTTGTGTCTGGACTCGCCGCCGATTACCAGCATGAGTCTCAGAAGTGGTGGGGATTTGGTTCTGCGTAGGAAATCCAAAGCTAAGAATCGCTTGGCCATGCCTGGATCAACGTTGGATTTGAGAAGTTCGTTCGTTAATTCCGGTGGCGAGTGGCGGCTCTCCGCCGGTGCCGTTGGCCACCGGAGCCGGAGGAACCAACGCCGGAATCGGAGGCTTGTTATTGCCAATGAATTTGCAGGGCAGTATGAGGACAGTTTTGACGATGTCAAAATGGTATGAATATGATATGACTCTTCTTCAATGGAAATTTTCTCAATCTTTGGTCTCCTGAATGTTGAATGTTTTTGGAACTTGGATTTTGCATTTTGACAATGGCTGTCTCTGTCTTTGCATCTTGTTCTAGATATTTGATGAATAAAATAACCTGAAAAGGGACAAAAGGAAATAAGCAAGAGAACTTATTTTAGCTTCCATCTTGTTTCTGTTTCTGATAATTGATGTCTTCCTCTGTTTCTTAAGTAGAGTAAGTTTTATAGAACATGACATTATTTTAAGCTTACCAGAGGCCTTCTACTTGCAGCAAATACAGAATTATTTCACATACAAGGCTGTGAGGACAGTTTTGAATCAGCTTTATGAGATGAACCCTACCCAATACAGATGGTTTTATGAGTAAGTGAAGCCTTTCACTCTAGTTTTTGTGAAGTTAACTCATCAAGACTTCCAATGTGAATGCTTAAACTATCCCTAACTTTCTGGAAATCAAAACAGTGTTTCCACAACAAAACACATTTCCATTTCCAAACCTAATCTTGAATTTCGTTTTACTACATCAACAGTTTTGTTACGAATCACAAGCCCGGGGATGGAAAGCGTTTCATCCGAACCCTCGTAAAGGTAGTATTGAAATCTTTAGATTCTTGAGATCTGAAAAGAGCACTCTCTTTTCATGTAAATATATTGGATGTTTATGCATATGTTAACAGGAGAAGCAGGACTTGGCTGAGAGAGTGATGATAACAAGGCTTCATCTCTATGGCAAATGGGTTAAGGTAAGGACAAGCTTGACATTTTGAAGACCAATTTATTTGTTGGAAGCATTTTAAGAACATGTATTGATTATGTTTTACTGTTGTTTGTTGCATAGAAATGTGATCATGCTGAAATATACAAAGAGATCTCTGACGAGAACTTGGACTTGATGCGAGAACGACTAATGGAGACCGTGATATGGCCATCGGAGGACAAGAGCTTTTAAAAGATTGGCTGACTAGGAGCTAAGCAGATTGTTTTTTTCTCATTCATTTTCCTCTAGTGTCAACCAATCTGGTTATATCCTTACTTTGTCATTCTCATTCATATTATTTTCCATCAACTAATAAATATTCTTACATCCACTATACAACGATTGTCAATGTAAATACTTTCAACATCTTATACATGTTAGAAGTATCAATCTTATTGAATATGTTGCTATAAAGAGTAGGCATTTTGGAGATTGGGGCACCTGCATCCTAACTGTTGTGTCAACAACCTTCCATCTGAAAGACAGTCATTTCTCATTTTTAAAGCAAAATTATGCAGGCATGTCATTTACTATGGTTAAACATGATTAAACCACCGATGAACCCAAAAGCTGGTGGGTTGAGGTAAATTTAATCACTTATTGGGTATCTAACACTCCCTCTACTTGTGGGCAATTTGCATAGGTCCAACACCATGTTAAACTACTAATGAACCTAAAAGCTTAAGTTGATGGGTTGAGATGAATTTATTCACTTATTAGATATCTAACGACTATCTTTAAGAGAAATTTTATTTGGCGATCCACTGGTCATCAAGGTCAAAGGTTGTTGGCTCATGGTGGTTGTTTGAAATAGTTTCTAATCATAATTTGCACTAGAAAGTAGAATGGTTTGTTTATAACCTCGGTCCATTTTACAATTCAGTTAATTAGACTCATGAAAAAGGAAACGTTGGGTAAGAAAACAAAGAAATTGATATAATAATCTCTATTACCTTTCTTGAAGCCGTTCAATCTTCCATTCGAGATTTGGTCTTAGGTTAAAGCCTCTTGTCTCCTATTGTTAACCTGGAGTAGATGATTCTCTGAGAATCAATGGTGGTGGACCATGTGGCCTAGGCCTTGGATTATTACCAAATAAAAAGTATCTATGTTCATCGTATATTAATGGGGTATTGATAGTACTGTTGAAGGTGCAGACATCAATGTTCACAAACAATGTCCGTCCACTAGCTGAGGTCAAAAAGCCTTGGGAAAAGTTTTTTAAGAATAAATCCCTTGATGGGGAAGAAGATGGGTGGAACAGGTGAGCAGATCATTCCATCTCATTTCTGTCGTTTTATTTGCATAAGGTTCATCCAACAAAAATGGAACTTGTGGCTTTCTGACATTTTCTTCACTCGACAGCATGTTCTTTCAAGAACTGCTGCCTCAAAGGTTGTCTGTCTATTGATGTTCTCTATTCTACAACCGTCCTCCCAAAACTGTACATATTTGCCCAGTCAACACAATCAACGTTAAGGCTAAAATGTTTTAATTCCCTTAACTCATTCTCCTGCAAGCAAAACTCGACACGATTTCAGCCCATATCTTTGATCAATGATGTCAAAGAATTCAAATTTTCGTAAATCTTTTCTGATTGAGGGTGTGATACGTCAGTGGCAGTGAAGTAATGGACCTGACTTCCAATTACAATCCAGCTAGTTCCTGGAGGCTTCCCTAAACCTTTATCTCTGAGCCACTTTCTTATTTCTGCAACCTCTGACCAAAGACCAGCTGCAGCGTAGATATTAGAAAGCAAAACATAATTTCCCGGATTAGTGGGTTCTAATTCAACAAGCTTTCCAAAGATGATCTCCACTAGCTTTTTATTGCTTTTAACCTGACAAGAACTAAGCAAAGCTCTCCAAATTGATGCATCAGGTTCAATGGGCATCGAGTTGATGAAACCTACAGCTTCAGCTAAATGGCCCCTGCGACCAAGCAGATCGACCATACAACCATAGTGAGCAAGTTCTGGAGTAATACCGAAATCCCGCACCATGGAATCGAAAAGCTGCAAACCTGTCTCGGTCAAACCAGAGTGGCTGCAGGCAGATAAAACAGACACAAAAGATACATTGTTTGGCTTGAAGCAATCATCCAACATCTGTGAAAAAACTAGAATAGAATCATGGCCACGACCATGCAAGCAATACCCCGCAATCATGGCATTCCACGAGACGATATTTCTTGCCTGCAGGGTATTAAATATCTTCTCTGCATATTGTATTTTACCACATCTTGCATACATAGTTATAAAAGCATTTGCTAGAGAAGCATCCAATTCAAGAAATTCTTCCCTTCTAGTTGTGTAAGCATGCAAGCATTGGCCTAGTGGCAGATGGGCAAGCTGGGTACAGGATGTGAGAATATTTATGACTGTCACAGAGTTAGGCTCCAGCTCAGAAATCATATGGTTAAAAAGCAATAGAGCTTTTCCTGCATTGTCATTCTTTAGGTAGCTAGAAATTAGGGAATTCCATGAGATTAAATCTCTATGAGGACATCTACTAAACAGATTTGTAGCCGATCCTTCATCACCGCAATTGATGTACATTTCAGTCAGTGAAGTGTTCAGAGAAGTATTTATTTCAAGACCGTATTTTATCGCAAGGCCATGAATGGATTGCCCAAATCTTAGATCATTTCCATCTTTACACGATGCAAGGAGAGATATCAATGTGTATGAATTAAACTTGGTTTCAGATTCACACATCATCTGAAAGAGTTCAAATGCTTTGGCTCGAAACTTACTCTGAGCAAATGCCAAGATCAATGTGTTCCATGAGATGACATCCAAGTCTCTCATCTGATCAAAAACTTTCTGTGCAGCATCGATTTGATGGTGTTCGACGTACATGCTCAACAATGCATTGCCTAGAATTACTTCGAGTTCCATTCCAATTTTCAAGGCATGAGCATGTAAGCATCTACCCTGTTTCAAACCATCGCTTAGACCTTCACATAAAGACAACATAATCACAACAGTTCGATCATCTTCTTTTGAGCCTTCTGAACGCATTTTAATGAACATAGCTATAGCTTCAGCATAAAGTCCAAACGCAATGTAAGCAGATATCATAGAATTCCATAAAGCAGCATCAAAGGTAGGAACAGCATTAAACAACAGACAGGATGACTCCAGACTTCCATTATCACTATACATTTTCAATAGTGAATTTATAATAAACAAGTCATCAACGAGATTGAACTTGATAGCCAACTGATGCAGTTGCTTGCCTAATTGGAGAGATCCAGATTCTGCACAGGCTTGAATTACCACCAACATTGTAACAGCATCAAATTTAATACCCTCAAGTAGCATACTAATGAAAAGCTTCAGAGCTTTTGTGTAATCTCCAATATCAAGATATCCTGTTATTATTGCATTCCAACTCACTACATTTCTCACCACCATCAAACTAAATACATGGTGTGAAACTGCTGCATCAAATCTCATATAAAATCCAATCAAAGCAGTACCAACATGAGCATCCATATCAAACAAACCATTTCTCAAACAATAAGCATGAATCTCTCGTCCTAATTTTAGTTTCAACATCTCAGCACATGCCAAAAGCAGAGCCACTATAGTACGAGAACTGGGTGTGAAGCCTGCCTTCTGCATCTCCATAAACAACAAAATTGCCTCACTATAGCACGAACACCTCACATATCCAGAAATCAAAGCATTCCATGACACCCCATCTCTTTCAGGCATTTCATCGAACACCTTACTGGCCTCTCCAACAAACCCACATTTACTGTAAAAATCAACCAACGCAGTCCCAACCCGAACATGTCTGATCAGATCCGTACCCCTGATACGAGAATGAATTCGTACCCCTTTCTCAATGGCGTTAAGCCTCTCGCAAGCTTTTATAACAAGAGGCATTGTAGCAGAATCAGGTGCAATGCCAAGAGATTCCATCTGGGTATACGTGGAAAGAATGGCATGGTCATTCTTAAGCTTAATTTGGTGCTTGATAGTTGAGTTCCAGTCCTTCGAAACCTTGAAATGGCCCTGTTTTGTTGTCGGGGAGAGTCCTAGGATGCTTAGGGTGACTGCAATCTCCATAGGCAAAGACCCACAAACATTTGGCGGGGAGAAAAAACAGAAGTGAAAGGATAAAGAATGGGTTTAACTTCACGTAGCTTTGACTTGAAACTGACTGTTGAGAGCTTTAACTGTCTGAGAGGGATACGATTAAACTTTTAATAAATATTAAAAAAAAAATCTCTAAAATCAACGTGGAATGAAATTTACCCTTTTCATTTTATGATCCAACGCTCTAAAAATAGCTAGAGAGAATATAACTTAGCGGTAATTAACATATATTTTTAATTAAGAGGTTATAAGTTCGATCCCCACCTCCACATGTTGTACTAAAAATGAGATATCATTCAACCTCTTTTATCTGTTATATATCTAACCATTTTTAAAAGTCTAGTCTCATAAACAAGTCCCCAATTCAAATTTGGGCTCAGACAATTTGATTATTATTTTAAAAATATTTGATCTACTTGAATAATTGAAAGAGATTACACGAACTTTAAGAAAAGAATATTAGAGAGAATAAACAAAATTAAAGATAAATAAAGTTGGTAACAAAACTTTAGAGTTGAAAAAAAATCTCAAATTTTAAAGTGAAAATTAGGTGAAATAGAAAAATAAATTTTAAATTTTAAACAGTAACCATTTTAAAAATTAATTTTCTATTATTATTTTTTTTTAATTTTAAATTTAAAATTTTTTTTGACAAAAATCACTGGAGAATCATCTCAAGTAATTACAAAACATATTTTAAATGGTCGATTCTAACCCTAATAAAAAAGTTAATTCTAACCGTGCTAAAATTACTATCAAAATGTGCCGTTAGTAGTGCCAACCAAGGAGTGGTACTCCTAAAAATTCAATATAGCACGTACATATATAAAATCGTAAATTATTTTGGTTTTTATTTATTACACTGATCTCAACAATGTCATTTACAGCTACATAACACTCTCATTTATATCTTCTATTTTGTTGTATACAAGCAACAGCATGTGCTCCCTATGCCTTCTCTTGTCTGTACATGAAATCAAAAGCTTCAGAAATTGAAGGTTTTATGCTAGGTGTCCTAATGCAACCCAGTAGATGAAGGTATTTTTTGGAGACAGATGAAGGATATGTCGAAGAAACGCAATCTGCAGCTTATCGATATCTTAGTCTTATGAACAACACGAATTTAGCACCAGAGAAAGTACCAAGGTCCTGTTCCAGTGCCTACCCTGTAAATGCAGGCAAACATCAGTTCAAAAACATTTTCAATATAATCCAGTTAGTTCAGCTGATTCTTCAGATGGATTACTCATTAACGAACGACATGAGTTACAGTTAGTAGTAGTACCTCCAGAACCCGGCTATTGTTCGTAAGCTCATGTAGATGGTTAAGGCGATCCAGATACCGATAAATCCTCGAGTTGAGGAGAGGATGAACAAACAGAAAATGCTGATGATAGCCACCAGAACCTGGAGAGGACGAGTATAAAAGTTATAATGATTGATGGGAGTGATTCATGTTTCGTTTGGGCGATCAATTATATTGCTTCACTTGGTATCTTACAAAAGCAACATGATAAATTCCATGCTACAATCTTGTTCATTTTTCGCTGGAATTAGTCTCTATTTGTATCATTGTTAGATCCTGACTTGATATGAATCACATGGCCGCTCTACCGTGGCCTTATTGATCGGACATGATTTTCAATGACGATAATTTGCGAGAGTGAGAGAACAAAGGGACAATAGACTTACCATGGAGTAAGCTGAGTACGCAAAATCAGAAGCTCCAAAGTTGATGCCATCAAAGACAAATGCCAAGGCGTTGATTGGTTGTGTGACAGCGACAAACTGCATCAATCAAAATAAAAATTCAGTTTCAATTCCATTTGAAATTGAAGTGAGTTATTGTTCCTATAGTTTGCTTTTTCAGGCAGACAAGATGACATACTGGAATTCCTATGCCAATAAGGTGTAGGACATTGACATCATTTGTAAATAACTTGGCCCCGAAACTCAACCCGACTCCAAGGAAGACTGCAAGCGCCAAGCCCAGAAACAATCCCAACTGCACAGTTCACAGTATAATTTTATAGAAATATGTATATATTAGAAGCGATAAGATCTATCAAAAAATGATTACAAACCTGTAATACTCGTGACGCTGCAGCCGTTGCCTTATTGTGGTCATTTTGGGCAAATGCACTTGCTAATATTGCCTGAAGAACAATACAAATTCTTAACTTGTGTGCAAGTTTATTTAAATGAAAGCAACTTAGGAACATGAAAGGCTTTTAATTCTTCGTGTCTTGGAGAGGACAAAGTTATATTGTGAAAGAGATCATTTCCGAACCTGCCCAGCAACGGCCAGCCCGTCTGCAAGTAGAGACATCGCCAACCAAACCTGCAAGCAAACCTGGAAGGCAGCCATTGATGTTGATCCCTGACGTGCAGCCAATGATGCAGCAAGCGTCACACAGAACGTCACAGCTACGACTCTCATTAATAATAGAAAGCCTGGTGAAAATTGAATATGGTTAATTCATAATCCTGGAACTTCAGATCGAAAGTAACTCAGTATAGATCTAAAAACTAATCTCAGCTAATTAAGCGGGATCATCCTGCTAATTGAGCTTATGTTGGTAACACCAAAACTTATGCATGGTTTTGGAGGAACTAATGATATTCATTTTAGTCAACCACTATTTACCATTGGCCTCGAGTTAGAGGTAAAACACGGAATGTATTTTAAAGAAGAAAATGAAAACAGAGAGGTCTCAAAACAGAATCCAGATTGCTCTGTTAGAACATTTTCCTTATCATCAAGATTAGTACCTGAGGCTCTTTGATCAAAATTTTAAGCCATTGGCTCAACTTTTTGTAGCTAAGAAATAAGTATTTACAGCATGGTTCACAGTACAAGTACACATATCTCGTCCCTTACCATTTTTCAAAAACCGACTAAATTGCAGATGTTTGATACTAGGAGGTAAGAGATTAACTTGTCCCATTAATCTCCAAAATAGTATCAGTGCAATTAGGTATCTACAAAAGGAAAAAAAAAAAAAGTAAATGTAAAACGATAAGTAGCAAATCCTCGGATGTCGTGGTAAAATAGAAGTCGAAGGAAAATCGTGGAGTCAGCATATAACATAATACTTACTGCGACATAACATGTGCAATGGCTGCACCGCTGACGCCTAAATGAAAAATGAAAATAAATATTGGGTCCAGAATAATGTTTGTTGCATCTCCTGCCACTGAAGCAGAGGAAGGGAGAAAATGTAAGTATCAGATAATTCAAAGGTTCCAAAAAGAAAAGGTGGTTTTGAAATCCTCTTTGAGTTTTTCCTTGTGTATACCAGTTGCATATAAAGGGGTCTTTGTGTCCTTAAATCCACGAAAGACCCCTTGCATGGCCAACGAAAGAAGAACTGCTGGGGCACCTAGGGCTCTCAATGTTAAGTATTGCAGTGCGGGAGTCATCATCAATGAATCCTACATTCATGTTATGCAGCTAAAGTCACAATATAAGAAAGTCTAAGGCATTAATCTAAACAGCAGATCAAAGCCTCTAGTTATTTTTTAACAGCAAGTACTTACAGACTTGACTCCCATAAAGTTTAATAGAGGCTTTGCTCCAGATATCAAGAAGATGGCTTGAATGAGGCCAAGAACACCACCAATAACCAAAGCTGATGAGGCTGATGGGATATATCTTCTTTCATTCTCTCCTCTACCACTGTCAAATCTCCTATCCACTGAGTTTGAGTGGTGTGTGTTCTCACCTTTCCCTGACAGGTATAACAAATGAAATCGGACTAAGAAAACACACTCTAATCAGCTTTAATCTTCAAAATGTGGGAAGGTTGAGAAGTGGATGAGGGAATACATACCATTCTGTGGTATCATCAATTTTTTCTCATCATTTGTATATGAACCCGTCTCCATGTCGTCATTTCCCTCCACTTGATTGTAAACACTTCGAATAGTATCTTCCTCTGCAACAAAAGATGTAGTGACACTTACAAGGGGGAAAATTGCAATTCTTGAGACTTGATTGAATAATGCAATAGCAACTCCAACAGCAGCAAGCTCCACAGGACCTGCACGGATACAGAGAATATGAACACACTACAAAGTCTTGAAAGAAAGGAAAATACTTAGGTCTTCACTAGTGAGAATCTATTTTATCCTGACCATATGAAATGCAAAAATATAAATTTTTAAAAAGATCATGAGTTGTCAATTTTTCAGTAGTGATGAGGATAGAGATAGGTCCTCATCGATCACGACCTAACTATTTTCCTTAAAGAAATGACACAAGTGCTACTACCCCTACCAACCAAAACAATACTTTCTCTATACACCTATTAGTAGAATCTTCATTTGACATTTTGACACGGTGGATTTTCACAAGTCTATTTCTAGTAGATTTAATAGATAAGTAGATTATACTAATAAAAATTAACGACTAAGAATACACCACATCATGGAGTCCGCACTGACCAGTGTGCTAGCAAGTATTTTTCTACTAGCAAAATAAAAAAGATTAGAAAGTATTTTTCACAAGTCTATTCCTCAAAGTGGTACAATAGTATTACCAAAAAAAAAAGGAAAAAAAAAAGAATAAGAAGAAGAAGAAGAAGAAGAAGAAGAAGAAGAAGAAGAAGGAAAGATTAGAAAGAAAGGCAGGGTTACCTATCTGTCCAATGAATGCTGTATCAACTAGGGAAGCTACAGGGTCAGCTGCCAAAGCCAGTGCGGCGGGCAAAGCAATCTGGGCTATTTCCCGACCAAGTTCATCCAACTTAAAGACATTCCTGTTTCACAAAAAGAACAAGAATTACCTATCAGGCTCTCACGTAAAGAAGGGTCCTTATTATGAACATTCTAGATCACAACTAAGAAACCTGAAATCTAAAATACAGTTCCTCATTTGATCTGTTTCTAGAAAGAGCATAGCGACCCTCTGGCTTTTTAAAATTAGAAACAGACAACAAATAATTGATAAGTTTTCAGCGGCTTCTTAACCTGGCATCCTTGAAGAAAATACGAATAGGAGTTCTCGTTTTATCCCAAGATGGATAAGGATCATCTTCCTCAGACATGATTGAGAAGGCCATCCACCGAACTGTTTTGAAAAAATCAAGATGCTATGTTCTCAAGTAACACAGGCAGAGAACTACAGCCCCCAAAGGACTTTCCGAAATCGATTCCCAGAGCCTGCAGAATGAACGAAAACGTCGACAATTAAGTTGTCTCAAAACCCAAAACCGAATACAAAATTTTGAGGGACAGAAGACGATATATAATGATGAAACCCATCCCATTTACTGGGTCTGTCAAGTAACTTAGACTCTGGACACCTAACTCAGAGACAGAGATTCAATTATAATAAGATAGCTTTTGCACAAGAAAGTCAAGGAATCGGGCCAACAATTCAATGTACGGGAAGACGTAAACAGTTGAATCCTCAGACTAAACTTCCTAATTCGTAACCTCCATGAAACTTCCGATGAAAAACATTTTCAACCCACAGTCTAAACAGAAGGAATTTCGAGAGAAGTTCGTGGGTGAAAGTGAAACAGGGCGTCACAAAGACATTTCAAAGTTAAATACCTAAACTCCGACGGCGTGGAAAAGACCCACTTAATTTTCAGTGCGCAGAAGAAAAGGGGGAGAGGGAATTTCTCTTCCCGCTCGAATTTAATCTCGACCCAGAAGCCGGAAAGCCAGATTCCGAGGAGGAGAATATTTAGATACAGAAGAAAACCCACGAGGCTGCCATTGGAGCAGCTACAGAAAATTGGGAAATGAACTTTGATTAAAATTCCCAAGTCTTGTTTTCCTGAGTTATGGTTTAAGTTGGTGAATGGAGGCAAAAGCAAGTGAGGCACTTTCTAGGGAAGAACTACTCGACTCACAAGTCACATGCACATTGACGGGGAAGCGCCAAGCGGCAAATGGGGGGCCCTTTTCTTTTCCGCCATTGGAGAGTAAGAGGGTTAAACACGTAATTTCACTTTGCGTAATGAAATAATTTCGACGCATTTAATACCAATAATAACTAATTTGAGGTTGGTTTTTCAGGAGGATTTTAAAATATGTACTATATTCGTACCTATCTATTTATTTTATGTTATTTATTTAATTGACTTCTTTTTTTATGGAAAATTGTAATGAGGGTAAAAAATATTCCAAAATATGTCAAAAACAAATATAGTAAGTAGCATATCAAATACTCATATCAGTAGTATATCAGACACTCATATTAATAGTATATTAGATGTATATCGCATATATATTACATAGACATTCATATCAGTAATATATCAGATGTATATCACATACATATTGCAACTATATTAGTAGTATATCACATATATATATGTACAAATAGAGTTATCATTTTAAAATTAGACTTTTCTTTAAGAAATAGTGTTCTATTTAAAAAAAACTAAATGTGGTTACTATTTTGCTAATTTTAGTAAATGTTTTTGACATATTTACAACTATCAATTTCTTCATTGAATTTAATAACAGAGTGGTAATTTAAGCGTACTGCTTTTTGGTGGATGATATATGTATCTTTTTTTAACCTAATATATGTATCTTAATTAATTATGTAATTGTTATTTTTGTTGTTTATAATTTAACAAATATATCACATTAATATTTCTTTTAGTTGTACACATGAATTTAGTTCATCAAACTACAATACACCTCATCAATTAATACATTTTGATGGGTCTCGGCATCATTATTAAAAAAATAAATTTCAAAAAGTACTTACGAACTTTACCTTTACTTTAAAAATACTCATATCATTACAAAAGTTTTAATAGTAATATTAAAAATACAGTGCCGAATTTATAACAACATAATATTTGATGCTCAATTCTATTCTAGTACCCTATTTTGACGGTCTTCCTTTTTAAAATGATAATTTCTTCTAACATTTTCTTTCTTTTTAAACTTAATCTAGACCCACCTCTATTTTAATTGTCACATGGTTTCATATTTTCTCATATTGACTTTTCGTTCAAAATATGAATAAATATTTACTCCAAAATGTACATAAAAAGTGAAAGTGAAGAATAGTATTTAAACTTTTAAAATAATAATAACAATTTTTCAAATAAATGATAAAATTTTAGAGTATATTTTGTAATTTAATCCTGTAACTTCGGGAAATTTCCAACTACCACAGACAACGTTTTCAATGGTTTATGATGTGACACGTGGCATATATTAATTGATACTGGGACAAGTGGCAGAACCAGATTCAAAGTTTGGCAAAATGCCCACTTTTGCACTGGGAATTGGTTCATTGCGAAAATAACTATAATACCCCTATCGAGAATGGGAAAGTTTTTTCATTTTTGATCGCGTTACTATTCTTATTTATCATCGTTATTTATTTATTTATTTGTTTTAAGTTGATATTGAAAAAGGAAAAAAGAAATTCTAATAAGATGAGATTCGTCAGCAAACGAGTATTCCAATTTCATTTTTCACGCAATGCAAAACGTACAAATCTTACATATATTCTCAAATACAAACATTCGAACACTAAAATTTGGAAGAATCAAACTATAAAAAAGAATAATTTTTACAAACATATCAAAATATTTAAGTTTGAAAGTATGTATGATATTAGATATCTTTCGACACATCGATATTTCCATGTATCCATAAATTCGCCATCAAGATGGCGGATAAATCAACATTTCCACTATATTACAAAAAATCGACAGAATATAAAAAAATATCAACAAAATTTTGTTAATATATGCATAAAATTAATAGTAATCATTTTTAACTTATTTAGAAATAAAAAAAATATTTATTGTTAATTTAAATAATTTTTTACGATTTTTTAATTGAATCTAACTTTTACATAAACATCTGTCGCCAACGACATTTTGTCGATGTTTTTAAGAAATTGAGACCTCAGACATTTAAAATTTTGCTTGAAAGAACAATCTATTAGGAGAATATAATAACTTACAAGGCTGTTCAAATTCTATTATATTTTGGCTGACAAATTTTTTTGAAGCCTATACTTTCTTTTTATGAATTGCAAAATGTTCATGAACTTTATTATAAAAGTTGGTCTAAAGTTTGAAAAGTTAGTTGAAACTGACACTAGAGAGAGACGATGCTTTTAAGTGGCCACTGAGTTTGATCTTTATTGCACACTTGACTTAGTTGCAGCTCTACCAAATTAGTTGAGAATTTTTTAATATATTATGATAAGTTAACCAGTTAAACCATGTTCAGTTGTCGAACACGCCAATATATCAGTAACAAAAAATAATAATTAAATATTGTTTTTTACCTGGTAATCTTTTTATTATAAAAATTTGGCGATGACTATATTTTAATTGGTTAAAATGTTAATAATTTTTACTAGCTCAAATTTCTATATTTCTGTGTCTATAAAATAGTTTATCAATTTTAGTTTTTTTTTTAAAAGAAAAAAAAAAACTAACTATTTTGATTCTTAAATGACCAGAAGGTCTATTTAAGTTCCTTAACTTTTATTAAATAATTTTTAATTATTGTTATAATTCTACCACCATTACTTAATATTTTGCTTCAGCCAATTTAGATGGGTCCATATCAACATTTGCAGTAATGATTAAACATAAATCACCTAAATTAAAATAGCTATTTTTTAATTAAGGGACTAAAATAGATATTTCGAAAATTTATGAATCAGAATGGAACATATCTAAAAGTTTAGGGATTAAAATATACATTTTGAAAATTAAAAATTTTGAAAAAGATAATTATGATAAAAATTGAGAATATTTGTAAAAATTGAGATTGCTATATAAATGAAATTACTATGGGATATCTTATGAATTTTTTAATGACAAACTTTAAAGTATTCTGAAAAGAAAAAGATTGTTTATTAAAAAATTAATAATTAATAATCAAATAAAAGATATCAACTCCTTCTAAACATCGCAGTATTTTATTGTCAATATGACTTTAACTTAACTTAATGGTAATTGATATTATCTCTGATATAGTCATGAGTTCAAATTCCTCGCCCCGTTTAGTACTGAAAAAACAATAATTTAAACATATTTGTATTTGAATGATTTTTAAATTGTTTGAAATATACGAGGATGAAATTAAAACTTTTAGATTATTGCGGAAGAAATGGAAAAATAGTGTATATTTCAAACATAATAATAATTTCGGCATATTTATATAATTACGACTAGCTAGTGGTTGAATAAATTTTAAATTTCATTTCTTTCTTTTTTTTTTTATATCAAATTTCATCTTTTACCTTTTATGTTTTTAAGTTTTAACTATTTGTATGCAGGTATGTCATGTGATGCCTAGGGTACCATTCCCCAACAATAAATATATCTAGTGTGCTAAGTTTTTTTTTTCCTTAATTATTTTTTATATAACAATAAATATGAAGTCAGAAAATTTAAATTTCCAACTCAAAGAAAATAAATGTTATTTACGACTAACTTTTATTGAAAACTTGCAAATTTACAAGTCGCACTAATTATTATTATTATTTTGGTTGAAAAAAATATAAATGGACTAAGGCTAATATTCTTATTGATTAAAAATTCATATAATAATGGAATGGAAGCAATATAGCTTTCGGAGATTTAAGAAGATAGAGTGAAAATTAATCTCTCCAACTTTAAAAGATGTCATGGCAACTTAAATTTTATTAGGCTTCAAGAGTCAAAAAGTTTGAGTCTTATTATTTATTTACATGTGAAATGTAATTAATGATCACGATGCGAAAAGACAACTTTAGAAAACAATATTATCATAAATGTCAATTACACCCCAATTTATTTTTAACATAAAGTTCTAAATGCCTCGATTATATTCCCTACATTTCACTTTTCTATGTAAACTTTCAAAGGGGTTTGTATAAATTATTTGTCACATAAAGTTGCTTTTCACATTTATCAAACATTTTTTCAAGAGGTGGTATAAAAAAATGATTACTGAATCATCGCTACCAACGTCATTGTTAATTTTCTACCATCTTTTTGAAAAATGAAAAAGAAAATTTGAAAAATATTAATGTTGTATTGTATATTACGTAACCGATATTATTTATTGTTATCAAAAGAAAAAAAAAACCGATATTATTTCTTCAAATCATTTATTGTTATGGTTATAATTATTAGAAGATTTCGCTTCAATAGTCACAAATGAAACTCCGAATTCTCGACGGAGTTCATTTTCTTCAAAAGGGAAGTTTTAGCCGTGATATGCTATTTTTTCAACTCCTTAGTCATTGTGTGGGAAGCTTCATCCTCACTCGTATTTTCAAGTTTGAACCCACAAGGGTGTTTTGAAGATGAGGCATAAATCTTCCACCCTTTATATAATTAATTATTTCCCTTTGAAATTAAGTTAATATGTTCACAAAAATAATTGCAAGAACTAGAAAAAACTTGCCTAATAGTACATCAACTCAAATATCTTCGAAAAAGTTTGATCAAGTGGGGAAAATGGTATTATCACATCATATTTATATGGGCCTTTATTGAGTAAAGATATTGTTTCAAGTTTTAACGAATAAAGAAAGTTCAAATACTATTTTCGACCTTGATTCTATATATTTTTTGTCTAAAATAAATATGTTAGAGGTACAGCCACGAAAATAGTATTTTGTAACAAAATTATTATGAATAAACAGAAATCTAAAAAGGAAAACAGTTGATGAGCTTTAGAATAATCATCAAATCGTGCATGCATTAACAGCATTGTTATTAGAAAGTTGAGGCTCCACTAACAAAGCAAGGCTTGGTCAACATCATCTTTATTGATTCCAATTGGAGGTTTGTGTTATGGTACACGTACATTCCACTTCCATCCATTCCAATTCCATAACGCAACTTTACTTCCTTTCTATG